ACTTATCTAGATTTAGATTTTTTGCAGTGCAGAAAGTGCATTTTCCTCTAATCTGTGCATAAGATGAGTGACTGTTAAGGTGCCACTGGTAGTAGCTCTGTATCTATACTTTTGAAAAAGAATATTGTGTCCGGATACAACTTTTCAGTATCGATACTTTTTTGAGTATCGATACTTTTGACAACCCTACTCTTTACACGTATACATGAATGAAAAACGAGTTCTCAGTGCCAGCATAAAAATAACCTCCTTTAATAAAGTTATGGTGGTATATTTAACTTTGTCACACTATGATAATTTCTCTTTGTAGACATTTTACAATAAAAGTTACATTGACAATGTAAATGATACTCTTTAGTGCATCTTTATAGCAGTTTGATTAATTTGTGCATAAACATTAATTCTTTCACTGTAGATAATTAAGAGGGAAAGTATTTTTGTTGATATGGGTTTGTAATGAGTTTCTTTTTGTGTTTTTTTTTCTTTTCTGTTTCTTTAAATGAATAATAATGTTTGATTATTCTTTTTGTTCAAATAGTTGCACCTATTCTTTTAAATTGAATTTTTTCTAAGAAAAAAAAGATAAAAAAAATAGCAGTTTTAAAGCTTGCATACATTTTATATGGGTGGAGGGGGGCCAATATCAATGTCTCTCATGGGGCCCTAACAGGTCCTGGCTGCGCCCCTACAGCTGAAAGAAAATGATGGTTAACTGGAGTATAGAGCCTCTAAAACGGGCCTTTAGCTGACAGAGTAACCCACTTAGAGCTGGAATTATACCAAAATTGTTAAAAATATATATAAACATCTGGCAATACGCCCTATGCAAAGTGGAAAAGTTAAACTAAACAGTTTAAACTGGTTTTAATTTAGTAAAAAATCTCCTTTAAATATTCTTTTACTCTCCAATTATTAATCAATTCATCGTAAAAATAATCAACAGATGAATTGGTTTGCAAAAATAATCGTAAGTTGCAACCCTAATGCACAGACATGTGAATCAGTGTTTGGTCCTGCGTGTGACAAAGGTAAGAAGCGCCCCACCTGCTTGAGCACCTTTTAATGATTATTGATGAAGTTGCTCAGTTAAAGAGAAAAACAATTAAGACCCTGCCAGAACAAAGTCCGCTCGACTAATGAGCTTGATCATGCCCGGACCTGCTCATCGTCGCGCTGCTGACTGCACTGCAAACCCTAATAGAGGCTGCACTTGTTTTAATCTCACCTGAATCCTTAAGGCGTAAGGTAGCTGTCACTGCCAATGTCTCTGCAGGCGTTAAGCTTACGGGGCTAAGGCAGCAGCAGATGGGCAGCAGAGACGTGATGAGTCCCTTTGACTGCGTAGCTCACTGGAGCCCAGGGTGGTGGCGTGTGAAGGCGGCTTTTGACATCTGCTGTTTACACGCGGGCGACCTTACTCTGAACCCTCTCCTGTAGGCCTTGGGAGAATCCAAAAAAAAAAAAGAATGACCATCAGTTCTCTTCTAGCTGGATTTTGGATTAATTTGTACAGTAGCAGCCATTCAAAATGGCCGTTCCCAGTCAAACGCCAGACCACTTCCCTCCAACTCCCAGCAAAATCCCCTCCACCCTCTAGCCACTGCAGTGACCACCTCTTGCACATTTTCTTTTACTCTGACTCCACCCTTTCACTGAATTACAG